GTTTTGAATATCTAAGAGTCCATTTTTTGGCAGGTTAAAAAAGGCTGCGACCACACTGCCCTCAGCTACGAACATTTACACACGTGCTGGAGATCTGTTTCGCAAGCTACCAACAAAATAAGTCCTTTACAAATAATTACCGTCTCTCCTCCACATTTCCCGCGCTAATTCCCTGCTCTCTCTAGTTCAGCTTGACTAGCCTGTCCACGTGCAACACAAAAATGAGAGGGGGCAGAAGGTACCCTTGGCAGATAAAAGTGTTAGCTTTAAAAGTACTTGACTTGATGCGGTTCACTCTGAGGCACAACCTGCACTTAACATATATTTATTGGGCAGTTACTGGCAACCGATGCTATATTTGTGCAAAAATGTCCGAAGCTGCTTGCGTGGAATCAGGTTATAGGCTTTCTTCGTATCTGCAAAGCACAGATAAACCGAATGAGCAACTCCCACGATTTCTCAACAATCTGCCGTAAGGCGAAGAGCTGACATAAGTTCTTCGGCTGAGCGAAAGCCACGATACTCATCTCGAAGATTGGAATCAGCTATTCTGCTGCATTTCCTTTCCAACACCTTTGCACAGGCTTTTTTTGGAGGCTCAGAAATTTCATGCTCCAATAATCCGAGCACTCTGTAATCTAGTTTCTTGAACAGGTGTACGGAATCCGCTGTTCTCAGCTCTGTTGTTACCTTCCTCGTGAGCACTGCACTGTTAGTCACAACATGCCCCTTGTATGTGTTAAACTAAAAGCATCTCAGAACGAGTTTCATCATTTCCAGCAGCCTTACCTATTTTCAAAGATTTTAGAGCTTTTGTGATTTCTCCTACTAAGGGATTGATCTCTGTTCCCTGATCACCTTTAGCCGAGTTTCCCAGCTCTTACGCCGGGTATAGAAATTCCTGAAAGTACCTATCATTTTATGTGCTTTGGTAAGAAGCATATGGCCGGATTTAAAGTTTCTTGGGCAATACTTCTTACCACTTCAGACACGGTGAGTTGTTTCGCAGAACGTATTATTTGCTATCTATACGTTTGACATCAGCACCTCATGGAGCTTTTCCCATGAAATATCCTTCGCTTTTGCTGCTCCCATAGGTGCCACCTTATTTGCTATTTGTTCCTCCTTCATGTTGAAGGCTCCTTGATTTCCCAGACATCCTTTGAATGCGTTTATTCTTAGGTGACCGTAGTTTGGCCTCTGTTCTGTACCATTAAATATTCGTTTCTGTCCGGTAGGCAAAGTGCAACGCGTTGTAAACCGCATGTTCAACAGCAGCAGCACCAAGCATCCCATCTTCAAAGAGCTTCCAATTTCCAGTTATCACTGACTCAGTTATCAAAATGTCGTGCGATGTTATTTGCTCGTCTTGTCCTCCTATCAACCGAAAATAATAAATGTCGTATTGTTCTCCGCTTCCTTTGAGTTCCGGATTTTCATCTGGTGATGTTGATGCTAGTAGTGCCGCCACAAAGGTTGTGACCGAGTAACGCCTAGGTCTAGCTTTCTTGTAGATTGAGCATCCGTCATAAGGATCGTAAGTCAGATAAAAGGATTATCAAATTGATCATCGTCTTTCGAGCACTAGCTTCGCTATATCACTTACACAGATGCCCGTTTTGACGGTCATTGAAAGTGTTTAGAAGAATCAATCTGTTATTTTCACAAAAGGTGCATCATCCTCTGCCCCCACTGTTAAGATCGCTTGGCCGTATTGCAATTGGCACTTTTCTACTTGTCAGTGTCCGCACGTGGGGTGAGGTTGCCCACCGTATTAAGGATTCATAACAGGCACATCATTTAGAACATATACTCCATTAAAAACAGTATTCTCCCTCTGAATTAGACTTTTGAACTTGTAACAAGGCTGAGGGTTTCACCAATTACAACCAAAATCGGAGGATTGTCACTCTTCCGCTGACAGGCTTTCATTCATTGACTATCTCAGCCATATTAGGTTCTGTTAGAAAACCAACTCCCTCGTGGAGTCGACACCAAGCATCCACCTGCACAAGTTCAGAATTCCAGACTCCAGGCACTTCTCGTTGACGAGCGCTCAACTACGTTCAGCTGATCCCTTGCGACCTCACCAACGAACCCTTTGAGTGTTCTAATTACAGACTGCGAACTCCTGTTGTCTATGTCGTTTCTGTGGGATCATATATTATATATGATAGGCATTGCGCTATCTGCTTGTTCGGTTCAGAACGGGTATCATCTCCGGTGTTTTCGTCAGTTTTATATGGATATTCGCAGTCCTTGTCATGTTGCTACTCCTCCAACTGCCATATTCCGTGTGGTAGGTTCTAATAGCCGTCTTTTCGCAGTCTAAATCATTCTGGACGGCGATCGAACAAATATGACGTTCGATAGCGCCAGTACCACTAGGGACACACAATGAGACTAATTCTCCCGGAGAGCTTCACCGCTATCCTCAAACCTCCTCCTTTCTCATCCGAGCTTGCGACACACAACGGTAGAGTTGCATTAGTCAGTAATGAGAAATAGCCTTAGCAAAAAGTTATTTGATGCACACTGTTTAGATAATAATGTTTGGTTGTTCATTTCCTCTCGCAGCAATTGAAACTTCTTCTTTACCTTGTGACGTTCCCGGTACCAGAGGACTCACACTTTGTCTCTCTGCGATGTTGCTCTTCGTGGACAAGTAAAGCATAGCAAATTAATTGCTATAGTCGGTTCAGTTGCGCTCTTTTCGTCATCAGGGATTTTCTGGACAAGCCATCAGCAGGAGAAATCCTGAACGTGATCGAGGAAGGTGCGTTGATCTTCCTTTCTGTTTGCATGACGTTTAAGATTGAATTATAATTGAACGCTTGAATTAGTAGGTCACTGAACAATTTCTGAAGCGTTGTGTACGTTTGCTACACCACCACTAGGGCGCTACGATGGTTCATATTTCGACTATTCGCTTCGTAATCGCACTTGATCCAGTCCCTAGAATTGTATTTGGCTGTTCCTGAGATGCGAGAGATGCGACCAGAGGAGAAACGAAATGCCTGCAACGGTTTTATTTAGCCAGTTTCAGAACCAAACAAGACTTCAAAACGCTGTCGCAAGCATCGGAGAGTTCGATCGATGCAGAGCCCGTTTTCAGCTTTTCCTGAAATCCACTTCAATGTTGGATGTGATAGCTTGCTCGCAGCAGCCTCTGTTTGGCCGGAATCCAGTTTGTTCAGGTGGCAGGCAACTGCTGCTGCAGAGAGGCTCGAGTGAAAATTCGAGGATGAGTACAGAAGATGCAGAAACTAAAAGCGTTTCGTGTCACGCTTACATGAGAGCAATGCCTAGTGACATGTGCACCAGCCTCACGGTGCAGCTGTCGCACGAATGTCGCTGCAATTCGAAGAAGCACATTTCAGTATTTGACAGAATTGCTGTTTTCTTAAATTCGCAGACGTCTTTAACAACTGCCACAATATAAATTCTTATAGTTAAATATGCCGAAGTGTATAAGTATATTGAGCAATCTTGGTAGTCGTTGTAGTGGTAGACATTGCGGCAAAATCAAAGATGCCTCGGTCTCCTCTACTTTCTTTCCTGAACTTATTGTCTCCACGTTTGCTATGCATTTCGTGCGCGCTACTGTAATCACCCATAAGACTTCTGTATTCGTCTTTTATTTAGATCGACGACGCAGTAATGTCGCTCATGGATATCATTCAGAAGAATGGCGTTTATTTTGAACTGTGGCTGCAGAAGGTGCTTAAAGGACAGGCAGAACACATTTTCAATATCACCAAAGTCGGCGACCCAGATGTGCTTATCTTCTACCTGTTTCCATTCATCTCTGCCGTCCATCGCATCCTATTCTTGCGGTTTGTGCTGGTAACAGCGTTGTGCGACATAATCAATAATATTATGAAATGGTAAGCTGTAAGCTCAGGTATGACAGGTGAATGGCTGTTTCATACTTGTTCTTCATTCAGGATGCTTCACGGAGAGAGGCCGTACTGGTGGATTTACGAAAGCGGCACGTACGTGGTTCCCCCCAGTCTGAAACAGTTTCCACTGTCGTGCGAAACCGGACCAGGTTTGATTTACGAAGCTGTAAACAGTTCGTAAGGCTTCACATGAAAACCAGTCATGAGCTTCAGTACCTCCTTGAATTTAGATCACTAAGACCTGC